AGGATTCCAAAATTCTGCTTATTAAGGCGACAAATATTTTGCGTTTTTACTGTGGTTCACTAGTACTTTCAATGCATTGATTTCTAACTTTCTTAAGACACCGAAAAGGGGACGAAGTGAGTAAAGGGGAATATACAACAAAATATTTTTTTTGTAACAGTGTGTATAGATTTTGTTATCTGTTTATTATATTGTCAAGGAGGAGTCAATGTCCATAATTCTATATACCCTATATAAAATTTTTTGGTGTAATGCAGTTAGTTAAAAACAATAAATCTATTTTAATTTTTATAGTTTATCAAAAAAATATGTAACTTTAGTACTAGTAGAGTGTGTTATAGGCTTCTACCACTAATAATAATAAGATCAATGTAATACCTTAGAGTTGGATAATACTATATTAAAAATTATAAACATCATTCTTTTCACAATGCGCTAACAGTGTACTCTAGCATTCCATTTGAAACAATTTAAAATAATATTAAACTCTACTACAATTTTCTACTACTGGAAAACAATATTCTCCACTTTTGTGTTACACGCGGGATCAAAAGATTTATTTATATTTATTATAATCTTTTTTTAAAAAAATAGTTTTCAAAAATACTTGATTAAGAAAAGTAAAGTTCAAACTCCAAAAAAATGTATTGTTGATCAATGTACTCTATGTAATAATCAAGTCCGAATGAAGGATTATTGAGCCATGCAAACAAACATGAAGCAGATCAAGAAACATGTCTGGCAATGGATCGGGCATATTCCGAAAAACAAGCTCATACATTATCATACAAGCTCTGAATTGAGGAAGTACAATTCATGAAGAACAGATAATGACGCGGAATGACTTCAGTGATATAGATTGTAACAGCATCAGGTTCAAATTTTATGTTCTACAAGAAGTTAATAATAAAAAGAAAATGGAAGAAAATTTTATTGCAGTTCAGTCATCTACTCCAATTAATATTTACTATATATTAATTGAAGACATTTACATTGATATTTTTAGCATTATTTTTCTACTTAACTCATTATATACGCAAACCTCAGATTACAAAAACAAAAAATGAAAGAGGAATATATATTATTTACTTTTCGTTTTCATAAAGTAATTATTTAATAATAATAAATATAGTCCTAGAAGTCATGTGTTGAAGGCAAATTGTTTTTGATAAACTTGGTGTATATAACCCAAGGTATTAAAAGAGGCTTTCAAAGGAAACTGGTCGGCATACAATAACCTACTCTCGGAATCAAATCAAAAAAAGGTAGAATTGAACATCATATTGTATCTTCTGAACATATTTATATCTGATCAAATTTATAAGAAATTTGTAAAATTAATGCATTAATTAATTGAAAAACTTCTCTAACATGAATACCACGATCTTTAGTAAATTTTAGTAGAACTTCTATTTGGCAATGTAGCAAATTCTATTTGGAATTAGTAGAAATGATTATTAAATTTCTTATATTAATATATGATACTCGTAGTACCACAGGATTCTTTCAGGGTTTGCTATTATTTTTGTATCCATTAATTTATTTGTTGTAAAAAATATTCTATTTTTTAAATTTTATTATTAATGGATATAAGTTGCTGCAAAACCCTGCAGTTTCAGCATTTTGAATTATATGGTGTGAATGGTAAACTTTATATAAGACTCATATCCTGTCTTTCATATCCAAAATACTAGACTTGTTAAATATTTTTTTACCTTCTAATAAAAGCAATTTACTCTGAACTTTTCAAACATTGAAGTAAAGCAATATAATTATATTACCTGATATATCATTGAAATTAAAAAAGATTTAAATTTAGAAAAGGTAAAACACTCTTTAACACTCTTCCATCATCATCATCCATCATCATGTAGTAAGGATTTGCATTAGCCGCAATTCTTTGATGAAATTAAAAAAAAATTTTGTTTTTTAATTATTTGTTTATTTAAATTAATATTAAATATACTCTTATATAAAAATTGGTTTAGTGTCCTCCATAAATTCCTTACATGTAATTTAAAACTAAATAAAATCATTGTCTTCCATTAAACTTAAAATAACTTATGTCTAGGCAGGCACAAAGGTTTCTAATTTGTACATAAACAATTAAAAATAATTACAAAAATAAATGACAATAAATACATATTTACAAGCTTTCAGTCATACTTGATGCATAATTTTTAGGTAATTTATTTACAATAGGTGGTTATGTTGGGTTGATGGTAACTGACTAGATCGTAACTGAAGATAAAATATTTTTTTAGAACATCATTCCTTACATATCTTCTTGCCACAGCGATATGTAGTCTAGCAGTTCTTCGTCATCTGCTGATGTATTCGAATATTCTTCATAAGATTGCTCAAATTTAACGGCCGCGTTATGTGAATTGATATTTGGAGCATACACTGGAGAATGTTGATAACTTTCAGTACTGTAGTTTGAGGAACCAATGGACGCAGCCGGCGAAATCATTTGCATATTTTGTGGTAATTGATGTTGTTGATTCTCCTTGCCAAAAGTACCCGCATAGCTTAGACCATAGTAATCATGTTGTTGTTGCGGTATTTGATAATAATTAGAGCCAGACGGTACCGCTGAATACAGAAATTGTGTTGGTGGGGGCGTGCTGCTAGTAGAAGAACCACAACTATTATATGAACTCACACTGCCAGCATCACTATCCACTTCGTCAATGACATGCTGTAAACGTCTTATGTATTCCACAGCCATGCGTAAAGTATCCACTTTGCTTAGTTTCTTATTTGCACCAGGTCCAATGCCACGGCGCCCATTGCTTAGATCCGCCACAATTGCTGGTGGTATGTGTTGTCTCAAATTCAGAAAACCATTATTTACTTGCTTAACACGATTACGTTCACGTGCGTTACGACGTATTACCGATGGGTTATTAGAATCCAGAGTGGTGCCCGTGCTCATTGCAATTGGTTTCGTATAAGGCATTGCAGTGTACGAAGAGCGTGCCGTTATTGCAGGTGCAATACGCCTGTGCTGTGGCTGATGCACCGTGCGAGTTTTCAAGATTTGGTGTGTAGTTTGCTGTTGTCTTTGGTATAAGTTATTTTCACTGCCAAGCGCCATTTGTGTATTGTGTATTTTGTTATAAAATAATATGAATTTAAAACAAATTACTTATATTTTATTTTGTTAAGATTTAATATCTTTACTCTAAGACAGTCTTAGTCCTACTGTTGCCCTTTCCGATGCGTTGTCGGTATTTGTACCATTTTGCTCTGCCACCGCCACCACCATGCAAAGGTATGCCTATTTACCTGTTCTGCTTGTGCAAGACATCAGCAAAGGTACTTTAAAAGAGTCTGATAAGTACAATATTATATCAGATCACATGAGAAAAGGATCGATCGCACATTACAGAAAAGAAGAGCATCCCTTCTTCGAAAGCGTATCATATCAGTGCTCTTCATCAGTACGTTTGTTGTACTGTGAGAGCATAACAGAGAGTAGAGCATAAAATCTGCCTTAAATCCCAACAAATTTCCCCAACGCATAAATCTGCAGTTGTGAACAGATTTTGAGAACAGTTTTCCCCTCTCTGATTACAATTTGCAGCGCTCTAGAAATGAGTGCTAGAATAGGAGACTCTCTCAGCTGTGCAGTCTGCAGAAATTCAATATTTTTTATTTCTATTCCGTTTTAGTATCGTTTGTGTATGTATGTTAGCTTGTGTCTCCACGACGCGTGCCGGCTTCAATCAGGTTTTTCAGTTGATTTTACTATAAACTTTACGCTGTAACTTAAGTATTTCATTGATCGCGCTTGCAGCTACTCTTCTACTGCACGCGTAGGCGTCATTAACTCAAATTCTATTCCCGACCGTGGATGTGATTTGTTAGACATAATTAAGTGGCCCCGGCGATATTTATTCACTTCTGGTATTTCTAGTAATTCATTCAGTTTACTCCATGTTTTTATATATCATTTGAGTTATGAAGGCGTTGAGTTTTAATTTCGTATTCGGCACATTTTCTTTTCAATTAAAATGCATTTACATACATAAATCCAAACTTAAACTACAAGGAAAGTGTGGAAAGCAATCATTTTTAATAAACTTAAATCACTTGGAAATATTTCACCTTTAAAGTAGTGAGGCTACAAATAGGGAGTCTAATTATCACTTCTAGTTAGAAGAAAAAGGATTCAATTTATTATAATTCAACACTTTTTTATAAAATATTATACACAAGGATTGTTTTCAATATTTTAACGTTTGATAATAACATATACCACTTATCCAAATCAAAATACTTGTGTTAAGGGAATGATAAATATGTATCTGCAGCTGCATATTTGGGGATTTAAAAGCCGTGTGCTTTATATTTTTTTTGTTTGTGCGGAAAAGAGGTTTAACAATGCGTAACGCATCATCACAAAGCCATTACAATAGTGCTACGCCCGATTTGCACGGACTAAAAACAATCCCCCTCGTGAGCCAAACTGCTTCTACCTTGGAGCTTTATTAGAAATACTTCATGGTAGGGTTCCTGTGTGGGTTACCCATTAAAAATTTTTTCTTCGTTAATATGCAACCAGGCTTCGTTTGGGTGTATTTGATGTGCCTCTTTTTCGAAGTTTAAGATCATTAATTCTAACACATACTTAAGTAACATAATCAAAATATTAGTTTTTTTAAAATATGTTATATGGTTTAGTATTTTGGTGCCTTCTACAATTTTGATCATAATATTCTGTCAATGTTATCAATGGGGTATAAGTCTATGATTCGATATTTCTACTTAGTTGATGCTGTCTTCTACGTTGTTAATCAAAATATTCTCTCAATTTTTTTAGTAGGTTTCTAAATCTATGCTTCGCGAAAGTAACGAAGCCGTTATTCTTCCCAACGATGCCACAAATCTTTTATATATATTATATGTATTTGTGGTGTACCTTACATTTATGGGTCACTTTTACTTCATGTCAGACTCTTTGTTTGATTTGTGTACACAAAATGACAAATATATAATATATGAAGACACAGAAAATAGATAAATTTTATAACCTTCACTCGAAACCATAGTTCAACAATTTTTAATATTCATTTCTAATCGATCTGAAACAATCTGTGTATATAAGATCTCTTGAAAGCATATTCTTGTTTTGTCTATTTTGACGAAAGAAACTAAATTGTTAATATAAACTATTGTTTTCAACAGAGAGGTACTTTGTGCAGTTATAAATTACTACAATAACATTTTATTATTTAATTATTTTATTAGTCTTGGCTGACCAAGCAGCTGTTTCAAGTATTCCCAAATACCCCACCATCAGTGGTCTTGGAATTATTTCTTTTATTTAATTATTCGTAAATAATTTCTTGAGACTGCAAATACCAAGAGTTGAACTCATACCCTGCAAAATTTGAAGTTTAGAGTCTGTGTTCATTAGCCCATTGACCCTAAGCCGTACTTGACTTGTACGTTCAAATTTAAAATTTCTTTAATTTGCTGTGAAAGACTTCTAATACCAGTTTTTACTATATGAAATGATAATAACTTGTTGTCTATCATTTCTACTGTCAGCTATATGTGAACAACAACTTTTTATTACTATATTAATTTAATATTAAATATAATTTTTTATGTAATATTAGCTTCTGCTCCCTTCTCTCTATGTATAAATTCATAATGCTCTATCTTTCTCTATCTCCTTTCGATAGTAATTTAGATTTCATTATGAACACTTTTTATATACTCAACAATTTATGTAGTTTAAGCTATCACGCTTAAAGAACTATAGATTAAAAATATAATCAGTATTGTATTTTTTTTACGCAATCGACCTGAATATCTAATCTCAATAATACAGAAAATAAATTAAAAATATTACAATTATTTAGTTTTTTAATATTTTAATCTCTTATTCTTATAGATTGGAAGTTTCCCTAATGGTACTTCTACGACCTATTAAACATAAGAAATGTTTAGACTTTAAATTATTTTCACTATTTCTGGGGTCTTTAAGGACTCTTAAACCACTTAAATCATATAAACACTACTTGCTAGTTAAAATAAAACTTAAAAGCTTTGTAAATTTACATAAATAAAACCTTTTATTAGACTATTTCTTTACTTAATGGTTCCAAACATATTTTCCTACTGCTAGAAGGAGAAGAGCCGCACCCAGTGTAACTGTGTTTACGTTAGCACGTACTGCAAAATTGCATTTATCCTTGCTGCATTGATTGCACTTGTAGTTCTTTAGGTTGTTTGCGTGATAACTTTGCAATTGGTATTCACAACCCCTGACATTGGTGTAAGTGCATCCTTTGTATTTAAATTCGCCGCTGTCTACAAAGTGAATTTTATATTAATGTTAAAATTAATGTACAGAGATAATCTTCAATCAGTTATAAGATATCATATGTTCATACTTGAATTAATAGTTTCAGTCCAACATTCAAAATATGGGCTGGTTACATTCTGGTTAACGTTTGTGTGATGAATGCCTATATATTGTCTGGTCTGATTCGCGGTTACCTGATTGCACTGGTGTGTTTTTGGTTTTTGGCAGTCGTTCTTGTTTACACAAAAGTAACAATTAAGTGAAAAACCTTAAATCATTGCAGATAAAAATTATGTTAAATATATTGACTCCAGATATAAATATACGTAGTAATTTAATATTGAAGTACGAACAAAATTTAAATTAATATTGACGAAAAAATATCACAGAAATAACTCAAAAGAACTTCATGTGTGTATTGCAGATATTTTAAATAAAATTTCACAATTGTATTATTTTTTTTATACTATATACATACTCATAGATATACAGCAGAAGCTAATAATAGCAAGTGCACAAATTATTTTACTGGAAATCATATTTTAATTATTTTTCTTAAAATTTTATTTATAACTTTACTCTACAACGATTAAAACACGACTAGTTTAAAGGCAAAAAATTTTAATTAAAAAAAACTTTTATATATTGAGTAATTCTCTCTGATATTTCTGATTTGATAAAATACGATTATCGAAAAACCACCGTATATAATATAGCATAAAAAGCAATCAGTTGCTACTGTTAAAACTTAATAAAGCAATCTCACTTTATAATCTACTTTGAACTGATAAATTTCGAGCTTATGATCTATAAATGAAAAAGAGTGTAGTTCTCATAGTCTCAAATCGAAATAAAAACAACAAAAAACATTGAATACCCTTCGCACAAATATATAAGTAAGCATAACTATTAATTATTATGTCATAGATCATATCTGGTGCTTCACATGTGTGCTATATAATAGTCAAGAATGTGCGCCCAATTTGATCAACATAAGTTGAACTTGACCTTTGCTATACAAGGTGAGACTACTTCACTGACATATGGACAGATAATCTACTCATATTCACATCCCAAAAATTGGACTCGTTGCTAGGACTTAGATTAGATTTTTTTTTTTGCAAGTTAGAATGTGAGACTTGAACCCACTAAAATCACCTCTTAGGAATGTTTGATGAAGATTGCAACCGCATTACAACGCCAATCCAGTAATCAGGGACGAAAGATATAAGATGTTTAGTATTTGCAATTACAAAGTTTTTTAAGCTTGAGGTGAGAACCTATTGAACATTAATTATAGGAGATGATGCGCATTTATTAAAGATTGGGACTAAATCTTAAAGGAGTGTGGTCTCTGGAGCGGGTTACGATCTCCGCGTTAGTACGCGGAACTCAGTGAAGAAAACGAAACGTCACATTTTTAGTGAAGGGTGAGAATTGGTCCCTGGAATTGATTGGCATTCACTCGACATGTTTTCAGATCTACTAGACAAACAGCTATTTGGTGTTATGAAGACACAAAATGCAAAATATATATATACAAACACATGGACAATACCAACTACTTAATACAGATAAAGAGATAATAAATTTGAAATTGTGCCATATACTCCATTCACGCTATTATATATACTTGACAATATTAAGTTTGTCACGTTAATAAGCTATACACATGGGTTATGTCGTACCCGATGACTACTTCACTGCGTTATGAATATTTTGGCAATGAAGATTATAAAAATAAAGATTATTTTTTAATCAAATATTTTTCAACGTCAGCTGATAATAGATTTCAATTATACTGAAAATTTCAATAATACTTTTAGTAATATCTTATCATTTTTTTAAAAATGAGAGCATAGTTTCCATTTAACTAAATTTCATCTCACATCAAAAAATTAAATTTTAAACTACGCTCTTGACTTTTATTGAGTTATCTTAATAATAAAATAAATAAAATCTGTTTTGTTATAATGTATTGTATGATTCATCATTGAAACTGATTAATCAGCTGTATTTACTGGATGACACATTCTTAGTAAAAACAGAACTCTTGAGTGACGCTATATAAACAAACTAATAAAAATTATTAAATTCTCATGTGGTTGATAATGTATTTCTTCATTGAAGTGTATCATTTATTGATGCAGATCATCCAAAATATAAGCATAGGCTAATAAACCGCAAATATAAACATAGCTCCTCAACAGTTTTTAAATAAATTTTGATCAATAAAGTTTTAAATATATGTAGTGCTCAAAAAGTATATTTTCTAATATAAGTATGTAGGAAAATAGCTGCCTAGAATAGGCAATAATTGTGTAAGTTCTAATGCTCACGTTCTAATAAAGTTGAATCCAGTTCGAAATTACAGATATTCGGCTAACCGATACTTAATAATGAACTCACTTTTTCGTTTACGTGTTTGTGTTCATTTCAGATGCTCACTATGAGAGCAAAGTATTTCCTTTATTCGAAATCCATTCCATTTTATGTTTTTCACAATTTATATACAGAATATAATATAATTAAAACAATAACTCCTTCTATTTAACGTGGTGTATAATAAGTAAGTTATATTCTTATCCACGAGTAGAATAGTGAAAGACCTCTAACAATTTACAAAGAGGCAGTAGCTTCTCAACATACAATAGGGAAGCTATAGTTTTTCCGAAAATGGTTATTATCTTTAACAGAAATATATACATATTATCAGGCAATTAAGCTGCTTTAAAGACCTTGAGTTTAATCCAATTTACGTCTATCTATGTTTAGTCACACTCTCTAAAAAAAATGTCGACATAACTCAATATATCTCTAATCTGGGTTCCTGGTCTGAAGGGGTGCTTCAGTACTTCTGGAAATACGTAAACAATCCAGGCATATCGTCAACATCATGTAAAATGGATGGGAAGACTCAACGATATGTAGGCATCTTGGCTACGCATATAGCCACAATGTATGCATTTTGGCTACGCTCCATTAATAGGAATTCAAACACTCTGACAAACACTCTGACTCAATTTACGTCTCATCTGTTTTGTTTTTATCCACGTCAAGCACGGTGACCACTTATTACTTTAGGGACACCATTTACGATCTCAACTACAAGACCTCTCACTTAACAGTATTTTAAGCTTTTTCAAAACTACCAGGTGATTTTATACCCTGAGTTTTTATATTATACCGTAGGACAATCCACTTAAACCTATTGTGTTTAAGTGGATCTGTTTGAATCGCCGGTATAACTTAAGCTAACCTAACAGATAAAATTGTAATCATTGTTATCACATAAAAATATTCTACTTACAAATAAACTATATTTGGTCGTATTTAACATTTAATTAAATTTAATATCTTACATTTAGATCTACTTTCGTTTTTTGAACAATTCAACTTAATTAGTTCGATTAATTAGTTTGATTCAACTATCATTTTTATATCTCTAATATTAGTCTAACATGTATTTGTAATATTATTAACAGTCTAATACAATCTTAGGTCTAATACAGAAAACAGTTTTATATACCTACGTAAAGCGGATAATTCTGTTAATGTACATTTCCAAATTAATGAAATTAATTTCCTTCCATTCTCAGTCCAATATGAAATTAATATATATATATTCTATATAATAAAATTTTACAATATTTTTAAAATTAAAATTGAATTATTTTAATTGACAATATAAGTAAATTAAATCATTTTAGGTATATAATAAACCCTTATTAATTTATGTATATATCAATGTCGCATTAAGTATTTTGGTATTCCAACAAGAAGAAGCACGATAAATGTAGTTGGCACCTTGATATGCTCGGCACTATTACAACGGTTGTTATTACAAGTATAACAGGTGCGTACGGCACTTCTATAATCTCGTAATTCTAAAGAACAAACATCTACGGACTTGTAGACGCATCCTTTACTATAATAAATGTCGTTTGTATAATCTGAAATATCCAAATTGTTTATTAATAATTGTAAACTAAATATTTACTTAAGCTGCTTACCATTATGTACTGTGTAAAATAAGCAATAATAAGAAGTATGAGTTAAATTCAGATCGACGTCAAGAAATTGGGCATTTAGATATAGATTAGTTTCGTTTGCTAAACCAGGATTGCATGAGTCTAAAGTTGGATTCACACAACCCTGTTTGTCGTAACAAGTATAACACTTTAATGCATTAACTGAAAAATAAAACAAAATATTATTAATATGTACAATATAGTTAATGCATGAAATTAGTGGCATACATAACATAAGGCAGAGATGTTGGGACTCCAGCTCCCTAACATATTTCGGATCATTTTTCACTGGATACCCATATAAATGGATTCTTTTCAATTAAATGCGTTTTATAAATTTCTAAAAAGTTTTTCAAATGCCTATAATAAGTCTTTGTATAGTCTTGAGTATGAGATATAATTCTTTATGAATTATATTACAGCGTATGACTATTAGCTTATTCAGGAATAACTTAGTTAAGGAATATTTTCTTGAAAATGTTTTGAAATTGGTGCCTACGTGCATTTTCCGAAGCGCACTCCTTCAAAGGGTGTGGTAAATTCTTTAAAACTGCATATGAGCCCAAACAATATATAGTTAACACCTAATATATAACAATAATTTTTTAGGATGATCAGTATATCTATATATATATGCATCAGTATATCAGCAGATATAGATTTAGTTTTAAGTATTTCTACACATTTTTAAGTATCTTAGAAAATATTGTTGATCAATCACAGTAATAGGTTTTTGGAAATGTCAAAACTGATTTCATCCTATTTTTTTATATTATATTTTATTATAATTTTAATTAGGAAATTTGTGAAAGTTTTCCACATTAAGCAAATATATAATAAATATATTTAGAATATGTTTATATGTTCTCTATATATAGCTAGAATAAATTCTTTCGTTTTATATCACTCAAATTGTTGCAATTTACTGTGTTCATAATAATCTATGCTTATAATACCATCGATATAAATATATTTTTGTATATCTTGTTAATAATGTACATATAAATTGTATGTTCTTTTTTAATCATATATAAACAAGAAATTATTTCACAACAATGTTGTAGTTTGTTTTTTTTTTAATCGCTATTTATACTTACTTATCGATATACAAAAAAAGCTAATAGTAACTATACCAACAATTAGTTTATTTGAAATCATTTTCAAATAATTTTAATACAATTCAAAACTTCACACTGAAACGATTAAAGCATGACTACTTAAATAAATAAATTACTTACTCATTAAGGTATTTATTTGACCAAGAACTCTCTATCAACAAACATTGATTATATTCTCCTATGCAGTTTTAGATTTATATTCCCAAGTAGTTCAACTCAAATACATAATCTTAAGTATTAGACGTCATAACACAGTTGCCAAAAATATTATCAGCAAAATTTATAGTTTAGCTTTTCACAAATAATCATTAATTTATAAGAATTTTAAAACAATAGAAAGAAATATGTTATATAGATAGATAGATATATAAATGGATAGAAAAGTCGTCAAAAATCTCCACAATTATTACTTAATTTATGGATGGTATAAGTGTGTCAGTTTTAGGACAAGTTATACATTCCTAATGATACCGAAGGCATATCAACTTATAAATATTATGTGTAAAAAGTATCTAGAATTTATAATCTAAAATTCGAGAACACGAGAAACATATCGCCACTGTGTTGAATTACCTTGCCAGATAAGATCGCGATTCATTACCTTGTGTACGAGTATTTATATCAGATGGCTTTGTTTTTTGGTTCCTTTAAAACTATTTTGGTCAAATATATTATAGTTTTATATGTAAAATGTTAAGAAGTAGTGATGCATCCCAACAGTATAAAAAAAAATAATGTAGCACAATAGACACAATCACGGTCGGTAGTCGAATCATACAAATCCAACAAAGCGCGAGATAATATCTCATAATTCAGATCCAATATGCCTCAAAAGAAGAGTATGAGCGCTAAATTAATTTTTATTTATTATTTTCTTAACGTTATAATATATAAATATTATAGTTAGAGCGATATTTAGGTATTTGTTTAGAATATCATTATAATTTTTAATAAATTTATTCATTTTTATTTTCTGTAATTATTTACATTGTGTTTAAAAAGTTAGCGTTAGATTTCATTCTTATGTCTATAAGATGACTTCTCTATTTATGCTTAATCTTAGCTTGGAAGACGTTTTTGTCCTTTCCATTTTAATTTTTTTGTAAACAGTTGAGTTTAGTCGAAATATTGAGACTGAAAGTTATTGTATTTTATAATGGCACAAAATCTTAAAAGGTTTTTTAAAATAATACATAATTGGTTAAAATAGGTAAAAAAGAACTAAACATGTTAAATACTGTAGGTCAATAAAAAAATATTACTTGTTTTGCAATTTTGAAGATGTTAAAGAACGGACCTCAATCAACCTTCGAAAAATGTATGGAGCATTCCTTAAACATTGACAAAGTAGTGTTACACTCTATGGCGCCTAGTTTCTAGCCAACAAAAAATTTTTAATAGATTGATAATATTTTTATTTTATTTACCCATTTCAGATATTAGTAATATACAATTTAAAATTAGGCAATATTTTATAGTAAATATTTTTATGGAATGGAAAGTTTCAATTTTTTTTATACGATTTAAAAAAAATCTCAACCGAAACATAAAGCTTAGACGACAAAAAGTGAATACTTCTAATATTGTTCAAAATATTATAAGTAAAGTATTGTATAATTTTTTGATTACATTTATCATATCTAATTTATTATATATGTATGCGATAATATTATGTCAAGATAAAAGTGTTTTCTGTTGTTTGTTTTTCTAAGCCATTACTTATGAAAAGATAATAAATACATAAACCTGATAATTTTTTTCTTACCAACATGCGTTCTTATCAATTGACATTAATGGCTCCACACATGAATCACTCAACTATTAAATATATTTGTCAATACAATATTAATGACGACGTTTTAATAACAATAAATATAAATAAAATAATAAGCAAAAATAAGTTTCATTTAGTAATAATATATCAATTCAAATCGAATTAATAAAACTAAATATTTTGCACATATAAACAAAAAGTATTAGTTGGACTTTACCGGACTTTCAGTAAATAATAGCCACTTTGATAAGAAATCATTTTTCTGTTAAATTCTCCAGAACTGCTTTTAATTAAGTTAGTTGAAAAGTATGGAAATATCTAATACATTTAATTATAAAGATAATCATCTAGCGGTAGTTTTATAGGGCATTTGGCGCCTATCATTTTCCTTCTTGCTACGAAACAAAATATTGGCTTATTACCTATAAGCGGTGAGAAATTTTTATTCACGAGCAAAATGTTTGCCTCGAGATGATTTCTATTAGCATTGAATTTTAATTATCATGTGATGGATATGAAAACATTTATAAATTATTGCAGTGGATTATGTTATTGATATTCTTATATTACTCTGGCTGTTAGTCTAATTGGCTAACTCAGTTAGACGCAATACAAAATTATATTAGATATTCATCAATAATTTAAAAATATGTAGTTTTATTGACTATTGTGATTTGGCATCAAGTGAGTGACATATATCTTTTAACAACTTAGAAACAACACTTAATTAATAAATAATAATTTGACAATTATCAACATTATAAATTTTCTATATTGTTATAAGGAATTCATTAATTTTGTATTTACTCTTTTTGACCACAACGAACTATAGTTTCGTAAAAGAAGTCTTTTTTCTTATTAAAGTGTATAAATTATTTTAATATTTACATTTTTAAACATATATCAGTTGCATTGTATCAGTACTCAGACTCCTATGAACACATATGAATATGGTGGGTTTACAGATCCGATAGTCAATGACTATGCTCATAAAGCATTCTTTCAAAACTTTCCTGTATAAATTTCTGTTCTTGCTAGTTGATTTATTTTTCAAAGGAATCTAACTAGAAGTGGTAAATATTAAAAATTAAACCAATTTCATAATTACTTGAGGGGATTACAGTTTAAATAATTCGATAAATCGAAGACCTCATTCCCGACAATCTTCTCTTTCTTAATGACTTGTTCATCTGTCATTCTGGTATGACAAAAATTTATCTCCCTCCAAGTTTGCTAAAAATTGCAATTTAAAGTTTATTTTTTAGTTCAGAATGCTTAAACAAATAAGAACGCAATAAAATAAAATTTTCTTGACAACCTTTTCAGATACTTAGCAGATCGATTTTGAATATTATTCATATTTTATCCAAATGGCGTATTTGTAAGCATTTGACTTTAAATTTCGTGGTATATTGTGGTAGTCATATATGTATCACAGCATAAATATCATTTGTGCAGCCCTATGCAACTCGAAGAATGAAAGGATTCAATATATATATAAATATTGAATACCATTAGCTTAACAGTTATCCTGTAATTTCAAAGGATATTAAATATATAGAAAAATGCAAATACAACACAAAAAATGTATACATCAGTTCAGACGATTGATATAGTCAACGGATACCCGTAGTATAAATTTAATAATTTGATATTCGAACTATTCGAAAACTTTAAATTATTCGAACACTAACAGCACTAACAGCTATGTATATGTACATGCGATGTACCATTGATAATCTACTTAATTTATAGATTAATTTTCACTTATAAAAAAAAATGAGTTTTAAAAATATTTCATTTCTAAACTATAGATGTGTAATCTATAGTTGATATTGTCATCATTTTCTCTTATTATTCGAATTTTAATAAAACACTTGCGTATTTCAAAAATATTATTTCATTTAACTAAAGCAGCATATTTTTCGTTATTTTATTTCATATTTTTGTTGGATATTTAAGATTAAATTCATTCTAAAATTTTTAATTAAACAAATATTTAAAATATCTTAACCAAGTATATGGCTTACGTGATATTGTACTCATTTACGTTATCATTTTATTTACTTTTATTAATGTTGCTATTAATATTCATTTTAGTTAAAACAGAAAAAAATAGCTAGATAATTAAACAACTGAATGAATGAAGAATAAATATGTAACATGTATTCAGATAATAATTAATTTAAACAGACAGCATTGCATTTCTTGAAGACTAAATTAACAAATCGTTTGATATCAAAAAACTTACTTCCATCCATTTTCCACACATATACGACTACAGCCCCATCAATAATATTCCTTCAGCAGAAATAGTATTCATTATTCCCAGCTGTGACTCAAAGACGCTAATGGTCGATGATTGAGTGTTGGCATCTAGAAATATATAAAACTCTCTCTAAATATATAAAACTCTCTATCAATTATTAGCTATGAAAAAATAAAAAATTATGTTATTTAGACTTGTCGCTAAGTAGTTTGGTCGATACTACAAAACATAGCTTTGCAACTCGATCACTTTAAAAGGCGATTTGGCTATCACACCAAATAGCACATGTTGATGAAGTGGTTTGATACGAGAGCTGTTATATATAGTTGTGGCCTAATAATGAAAATGCGAATATTTATCATCAAAAATTGTTTTATTGCTTTTCAAAGTATTCTCCAGCCTGATTTTTACACTGTGACGATCTTATAAACGTCTTTTGAAGCACCGCGAACGTATTTTTTCAACATTTCTTTGCACCAAAAGACACAAGCCTTTTCTTGAACGATTGTCAAATTGTGCGGGATCCAACGAGAACAAACATTTCTTACGGCCAGGTGTTCATGCATATTGAATATATGCTGGTGGGAGAAATGCCCAAGGATGCCTCTATCTCACGGTATGTCACATGACGATCTTGCATTATCAGTTCACACACTGCATCAATGTTCTCTGGCACAACGGCCGTTTTTGGACGACCTTCACGGAATTCGTCGTTGAGCGAGCGTCGGTCATGATTGAATTCATTAAACTAGTTTTTCACAGTGCTATAGGATGGTGCTTCGTCGCCATACAAAAATTTAAGTTCATCAATGTCAGATTGCACCTGGCAACACTTAGTGTTGCCTAAGCCAGAAATATATATATAGCAGCCCTCGTATTATAGTCTATCTATTTAACTATACTCCACCGTGTAATATATACTCAATCGATTCGTTAATCGTTAAAGTTTTAAATATTATTGTCAAATGTTCTATCTATGTAAGACAATTTCGCCAAAATATTTTTGATAAATGTTTAATAACTGAGTTAACTCACTAGAGGTAATTCTCATATCACTTTGCTAAGAATTATGACTATTGGGACTATTACAATAGTCATTCTACATTATCACACTTTTTGAATACATTTTAAATATTAAATTAAATTATAAATTTAATGCAGAAAAGTAAAAATTTAATTACAAAATAGTTTATAAAATAGTAGTTAATAGCAACTTGACTCAGTTCAGATTTTTCCTTAAGGAAATCCATATTCGCGGAATGTTTGGCTGTTACAATTTTAACGGGTTTGTCATGACGTCACTTACAAGATCATCGTTTTCTGTACTATAATTAAACAATTTCCTTCAGTAACTATTTTTTCAAATGAAAATCTGTTAGAACACAGAATTTAGTTCTTTGTTGATGTAAATGAGTAGTTGAACATTTTGATGACAAGTAAATCCAGAGAGTACCTTGAAAGTCTGCACTTTATCCGGTTTTCAACCTATAAGCGTTGTCCCGAGATGGATATATGGCTAATCTCTTGAAAACAATTTTCTGAAATTTATCTCGATACGGCGATTTTTACTATTGTCTCACAACTTTTTCGATATATCATTTAATGCAAAAATTTTTTCACATATCCGAAATGTTAAATCAAAATAGAATAAACAGAGGCTTAGAATCTATGAATGTCTATTTATATTTGTAATTTAATGGGCTCTGAACAATATCGCTGTAGACAAAATTTAATCCATATTTGTTGAGGGTTTTATTTATACATATGTGGAAGATCAGTGGTTTCTAAGATTATTAATATGTATATGATATGAATTAAAATGTTTTTAAGACACAATTGTCTAATAAGGTTCAAAAAGTTTCTTTTATATCTTAAAATTTGTCAAATAAAGTTTCTTGTGTTTTTCATAACATATATATTTATCTTATACTCGTTAAAGTAGTTTATATAAGACATATAAGATCTTCTATTGGGTCCACGTTGATCTAGATTTTAGTGGCTAAGATGTCTCTTAAAATTCAGGTTACTGTTAATAACTATTTAACATAGACCCCCCACATTATTCGGAATGACTTATATTATAGAAGATTGAAATAAGAATATCTTTTTTATTCATTAAAATCCTATTACCTTATGTGTATTATATATATATTATATCCTACACTAATGTAAATTTTAGTGGGTAAAATGTCTGCTAAAATTCAAGCAACTGTCTTGATTATTGGAATCGATGTATATTATGAAAACTAAAACAATTTATTCTAATATAAAGTGTGATATTTCAGGAGTTTAAATATGAAATTAAAAATATAACTAAGCAATAAATCAGCATTTTAGTTTACAGGAAACATAAGGCGAACGCGAAGTATATGTTTTTGATATTTTTCAACTTGCCAGATGAACTAAATCTGATGGTAAATTTGAGCAAGGTTATACACTTGTTTGAAATAATTTATTATATATTATTTATTTATATATATGTTTTATTATGTTGACACTAGTTGAGTCAGTATACTTGAGCACTCGTACTCTTTATTAACTCGAGTTTTCTTCATAACCCCTCTCTACACATTGAGTGGATTATTGTTTATCACTTCATCAAACTAACTAATAATTCACCTCAGATCTGCATATCTTTAAAGTATCCAATAGTTTCGAAATGGGTAAATTACTTCCCGTTTTCATGTTACTTGTATTTTTATGACAGTTTAAATGTGAACAAAAACTGATGGAGGAAACTAAAGAACCCAAGTTTTGTCATGGATCAAAACATCACCGCCACTTCCGGCCACGCTAATGATAAAACCTATTTTAAACTCAAAGTTAATGGATACACCTTCATTAATTTAAATAATTTTATTTTATTTTTTAATTAATTAGTTTACTAATATTTGATTTTCGGTGCAACTATTTTAACTTATTAAATTAAATTTAAACACATTTGGAATCTTAATGGCTCAGCACAAATTTTGCGACTCCAATTAGAAGAAGTGTGGAAAGCATCGTTATCATATTAACGCTGGCATGGCCGGCACTATTACAACCGTCCTTATTACAGACACCACAGGTCTGGAAGGCATTTCCTGGATTTCTTAATGATAAACTACAAGCGTCGGTTACCGTATAGACACAACTTTTATACTCATAAGTTGTATTTGGACCATCTGAAAAATCGATTGAATGTTAGACTCTTCTTCACTAAAGTCGTAATGCAGATATACTTACAGTAACGTATATAGGAACTCAAGCAGTTATATTTTGAGCTGATGAGACTCGTATTTACATTAAGAAAATGTGCATTTAGATAAGCTGATGTGCCGTTTGCTAATGTTTGTGTGCATGTTTGCAAGCTGGGGTTATAACAGGAACTTGGATCGTAACACGTATAGCATTGTAATGCACTAACTGTAAAACAAAATAATACAATTTAAGGTTTTATTATAAAACATTTTATATATAATTAAAATTGAATTAATCTCTTATAAGTGAACCAATTTTTTGTTATTTACTCTATTAAGTTCATAGGTTTAACCTTCATTTTCGCTATAGTGAATTTAAATTGGTTTTTTTTTGAATTTTTAATAATATCTTTTTAAACCAAAAACAGAAAAAAAAAACTTGAAAGTTATAATTTATATAGGTTCCAGGAACTTCCAAGTATATAGTTAATACCACCAATTTTTCCCGAATAAAATTGAATAAATTAAACATAATAATACTTATTTTTGAATTAGACATCTTTAAGTTACGTTTCAAAAACGTTTACTATATAATATTGATATCCTGTCGTTTTTGATACCTTGTTTAATAGCTAATAAGAAGTATTATTAATTTATTTTCATTATCACGATTAATGGAGGAATTCAAAAATTACTCATATTCTTAAAAATATTTTAACACAATAAAATTAATATTAACAAAACAAGTAATATTCTCTTATTAATCACTTTTTTATAACACAGTTTTCAATTCACAAAGTAATTTTTTTATATTTTGTTTATAATAAAAATTTAATTTTTCCAGTGTACTCTCTTTTTTTCAATTAATTTTTTATAGCTCAATAAACTCACTTGAAGCTACACCCAAAATGCTTATGATAACAGCAGTAATAATCACACTTTTTGAAAACATTTTGAATATTATTTTACTTGAAGTACTTCTAAAGGATTCCGGTAAGCGTTTAGGTTCGCGTTCTATAAGTGAATGGGCTTTCTTTTAACTATTGCAGTAAATATAGTAATTTGCTAGTTTTTAACAAGTCTTATCTTATCACTGAAACATTTGGGGGTTTTCTGCTTTGCTCATTTATGTTATAAATTTTGAATAAATCGATAGCATAAATTATTGCAAAATACCGAACTGAAGAAATATTGTTGCCATACAATTTACCGACAATTAGAAATACTCTAATATTATCAAAACATTTGTTTCATTCAATTGATCTTAAGCGTTTTTGACTGAACTTTAACATTTTTCATACTTTGTAGTACGACTATTCAGGCCTCTGGAAAAACCCTAGTAATACTAAAATGATTAGACTCAACTGAATGGGATTAAAGTCAATTTTTACGTCATTAATTAAATTGAAGTGGAAATAGTTTAATCCTACTTTTAGATTCTGAAACTCTTATTTGTTATAAATAATCACTTGAATTTTTATTTAAAGTTAACCTCAGTATCAACATTCAATTTAAAGTAAATCACATGGCTATTAATACAATTTTTTTAATTAAATTTAATATTAATTTTGTCATAAATTTTTAATAGAAATCTTTCTACAAGTATTTACATGATAAAGTCCATTACTTCGTAGTGCACTTTTTATTATGTACTCTAGACTTTAATAAATGCGCAAAATAGCTTGTCAGTTGGAGTATAGAAAATAATTTAAATTATATTGAAGTATATAATTCTAAAGCTGTTTTTATTAGTCAAAGAAATAAAAAAAATAGATATTTAGCAATAACATATACAGGGTGTTTTGCAACAGATTAACTGCTGGTGCTTTAACAAAAGTACAAAACGTGAGGAAAAATCTCATTATTTTCCTGCTGAAGAAGAAATGCTGTCATCTAGAACGGAGCCATATTGTTGATATGGTAGTATATCTATCATCAACTAAATAAGTTATATACAAATAGATAAAAGCATTTTGTTGTTGCCAAAATTAAACAGATGCGCTCTGCAATTTTTATCCAATCGTTCATCGCAATCAAATCTAAAACAATAAATCCATTGAATTGTTGACTAGACGGGTTCTTGGAAAGCAACGCAAATAAGTTTGCTATTCTTTGATAAAGATATATTTATAGCAATAATTAAAACATTATTAATAAGGGACTTTTTTGTGAAGTGCACTCTTAGTGAAATGCTTGAAATTAATACGTGTGCAGCACACAAATAGAATCAAATCATCTACAACAGAGCTGTCCAAACCAGATAAGATCGCGGGCCAATACAAGTCACTAAATAGGTTGAGGGCCCCAGAAATAATTGCATACGTTTATAATTTTTCCAGAGAAAAATGGAAATATGGCGATAATGATGAATTTAGTTGTATTTATTTATCATTAATTTATCTTTACAATTCTATCAGTATCAGCATTATTAATATTAGTTATTGCCATACCTAAAACATTTTATATCTAATATAATATTGTACAAAGAAATATATACTAAAATCGTTGTCAATTAAGTAAATTAATGTGAATTGTGATAAATTATTGAAAACATTTTAATTCATTTAGCATAAATATAATATAATGTGATGTTACTAAAATATAACAAAGAAAAATTGTCAAATTGTGGTAGGTTAAAAGCATGCCACGGACTGCATGAGGCCCGTGGGCTATGCTTTGGACAGCCCTAATCTACAAAATAAAATTGTTTATAAAAATTATTATTTTATTTTTTTTATTAAATTAAATGCAAATAATGTTACTTATATTTCTTTATTTATTTTGCAAAGAGAGTAATATCAAATTTTATTTAAAAGTGGTTTCAAACTGTTTTAACAAAAATTTTGAAAATGATAAAATTATATATGATGATAAAACTTTATAATAAAACTTTTAGTAATATTCCACTTATTACTAGATTCATATCAATAGTATATCTTTCTCACACTTTATCTTATCAGCCAAATCATTATCTGCAATCATAAATATTACATTTAGCCTTAAAGCAAAAACTATTTCACAACTATTTTGATTTAGATTAATACTAACAATATTTTATAGAACTCTCAACATATTTAAGTTGCATGAACTGTTTTTAATTACTTCAACCCGAATATAATATCACTATGAAAAACTGCAATTTGATGAGTAATTTATTATATTCATCTATTTCGACACCAATTAAATAACTTTCATGAAATTAACATATATATATATTAAAACTTAATTTACTTAACTAACCGTTGAAAGACTGCTTCTCATGTGGATTGTTCTCTTGCAAACAGGGCTGGTTCTTACAAAAATGGGCTTCATTACTTTCGATTTGAATGATGTTTTTATGTTCTTATAGTAAAGCTAAATGACCCGTATTTCATGAAAAAAATATTTAGTTGTTTGTTTGGGATGCAAGCATCTATGGGGTTTTGAGAACTTGTATTTTAAATTCATTTTTAAGTGACCATGTGTCAAATTTTGTACATAATAAAGGTTTATAGTCAATTGCGTTTCAAAGATAATTGCTTCAACATTTCATAAATATTTTAATCAATTTAAATTGCTTATGTTATATAAAGAATGAACTAATATAAGCAACTAAAATATTTAATTTTATTTTTGAGTGGTGTTCAATATTAAATTTTAGTATCTCATACAAATATTTACCAAACATTTCTGATATGGGTTTAAACTTTTGGACAATTTTTATACTCGTATAAAAACTAGTCTAGTTCATTGGTGTACTGTTTGAGACTGTATTTTATTAATAACATTTGACCCAGTTTGCTTTCACCTCTTAATTATTGCTAAGGAATAAAGTGTAACGTAGTAACTCTTCATTTTCAAAGTGCCTTTGTCTGATTCGATCATTAAGTAATATAATTGCTTTTCCTGACTTCCCCTCATTCTTCTAAAAGAATATTGCTCTTGATTGTAATAAGCTATTGTCATAGGTGCTTAGGTCACAACATTTTTCCCGCACTTCCGAACAGCACTTTTAACAATTCTATTTTCAATGAACCATTTAAACAGATCGTATTTTGCTGGTATTTTGCTCAATATTTGAAGAACAGAATTCAACTGATTTTGTATATATGTCAGTAGTACCACTATTTTATAATTTGCATCCATTCATCGACATCACAGACATTGCCTACACCTTTGGCATTGTAAGGTAGTACAGATGAAATGGTAAGATTCCCGCCCCGTCTCTTATGGATAACACTCCTCCTGAAACGTAGCACATATTTCGTTCCATAATTTTTCTGTTTACTCCTGTTACAAATTTAGTTAATAATTTATTATTAATTATTATGCCTTTTCTTCCATCATATTGGACAAGATAGTAAGCAAAGCAAACGATTTGCCAATAAAAGTTTGCGACTGTGAGAAAATCTCTCTGATATAATTAACATTGTATTTACATTTATATGTTTTTCGTGTCCCACAATATCAAAGCCTTTTAAAAATCAATAATACAATAATGTAGATCGCAAATATGTTTTCTGCCTAGAATTCGAATTCCGTACAATGCTTCTCTTATACCCATCGCTTTACAAAAGCCAAATTAAGTATCACTCCTTTTTTCTAACAGCTCTTAATAAATTCAATCATATACCTCAGACCAGATACGATCGGTACAACCAATCACTGTGCAGATTCAAGGGCCGCAAAAACAAATACATACGTTCATAGTTGTTTTCAACAAAAATAAAAACACGGTTGTTAAATTTAGTTTTATTAACTTATCAATTCAAATTAATTTACTTGGATGCGGTTTTACCAGAACACCAAAAAAAAAAAAATTCCCGCAATTGTGGTAGATTAAATATATGTCGCGGGCCGCATAAACATTACCCGCGGGTCGCATGTGGCCAGCAAGCCGTGGTTTGCGTCATCAAACAAATTGCTCTAAAATTTAGTAACTAAAATAAAAATTTTATGTTGTAGGACAATACATCTATTTCTAATAAAAATATATATATTTACGACGTGTGAGTTTAAATTGCACATACAGTCAAAGCAGTTTAGTTAACTACACCACAAAACAAATTTTTCGAATCAGAATTAAATTATTATGAATTAATCGGAAATAAACATTACCAACGTCAATCTGCAGTTTGATTATCTTAGTTGAGCAGGAATATTATTCAATGACACCTCACAATAAATAATCGCACTAAAATCTATTATGATCGGGAATAAATTCTTAGGACACCCTCATTTAGCATAAATACGTTAGTTCCTTTTCAAACCATCTTATATATTGGATAAAATCATTTTACTAACACCCGATTTTCTTGTCACTGACTTAGACTTAACTTACTGAACAAATCGTCTTGCAAGTTCATATGTAGAATCAGTTGCTTTAGCATACTAAGAAAAAGAGTGAAAAAACAAGAAGAACAAGCATGAAAAATGGTTTTATGTTGACAAATTAACATTTAGTTATTGCATTTTTTATATATATAATTATTTCATGATTAGTAAATTTTTTAAGAGGTCACTTTTGGAACTGACGTTTTCTTAATTTTTATTTCGATGCACAAAATTTATATTTGTACGAAATACCCTCTGGGTACATTATGTTCCAAATACATTTTAATTGGCTATAATTATTGACTCCGTGATTTTAAAAAGAGAAATGCTTTGCCATAAACAAATAATAAATTTTTCACATGAACAATAAATATTTTTCCAATACGGCTTAATTATAGACGCCCCATCTTCCGAACGCCTCGTTGAAGCGTTTAAATTCACACCACATTTTTTAGGAGCCGCATATAAATGTTACCAAATATTTTATTAAATATTAAGATAAAAAATATAATAAAAAAAAAATTTTAATTAAATAAAGTTGCCGCAAGTACTGCAATAAATCAATAATATTTTTATCACATTTATTATAAATTTATGTGATACTATGCAAAACTTATATAGAAATTATATGAGATACATTGTGACCGAAAAGTTTCCGGTCATAAATAAATAAAACGCAAAATTCTTAATCTTCATCAATATTTATTTTATCTCCTT